CCCTCCGTGCTTTCATGTTCTGCCCTTTGGTGCCTTAGGAAATTGCTTGGCCCCCCTCCTCTCTGTGGCAGCCCCTCAAATATTGGAACACTGCTATCATGTCTCCCCTGGTCCTTCTCTTCTCTAGATGAGACATGCCCAGTTCCTGTAACCATTCTTCATATGTTTTAGTTTCCAGTGCCCTAATCATCCTGGTTGCTCTCCTCTGCACTTTTTCTAGAGTCTCAACATTCAACTCAGCAATTGTAGGTTATTCAGTGAACTCTGGCCAAGGATTTATTTTACACTGCAAAATTAACTAAAATTATATTTTCCTTATGGGATATTTCCCAAAGCCTAGGTGTCAATGACTGTATATAAGTTGTATCCACTGCAGGAAGGAAACTAAGCCTCCCCCACCATTCACTCTTGGCCATCCAACCTTTCAACCATTTTCAGAGCAAAGGATTAGAATTACACTTAAAAGGATTTATCACCAAGGTTGAAATGAGCAAGATAAGAAAAGGCGTCAGAATTCTCAAATAAAATGTCTTTTATTTTGTCTCTCCTCTCTATCTGAGACTTCCCCATTTCATAAACAATGAGGCTCTTTTTTCCAAGGTCATCGCTTGATTCAAAAGGCAAGAAAACCACAGCAGAGCGCTCCCTTTTGGCCATTAGGCTAATTGCACTTTCTAAGGTGGGCTCTGTTCAGCCACTTTCCAGGAGCAATGGAAAATGTTCCTATAAAAGAAACTGGGGGAGGGATTGGCACGTACAGGTAGCCCTTGACTTATGACAGTTCACTTAGTGACCAAAGTTGCAACGGCATTGAAAAAAAGTTACTCATGACCATTTTTCGCACTTGTGACCATTGCAGGGCATCCCCATGGTCACCTGACTTACATTTGGATGCTTGACAATTAATTCACATTTATGACTGCTGCAGTGTCCCAGCAAGGTCATGTGATCCACCTTCTGAAAAGTCCATGGGGAAAGCAGACTCACCTAACATCCATGTTACTAATTTAATAACTGCAGTGATTCACCTAACAATTGTAAAATGAGGCAAGACTCACTTAAATTATTTAACAACATAAATTTTGGGCTCAATTGTGATCATAATTTGAGGACTACCTGTACCCCCAAACAACTTATACTTATACTGTGCCTTTGGAAATAAACATCTCTGCTTCAAGCAGCAGTTCTGTCTTCTTTCAAAACCCAGTTTGGAAGGGACCCTTCTAACACCATCTTTACTCACAAAGTACAACATCTGATTTCCTTGCAACAGAAGATATATTGTGAATACAGTTACTGCAGGCTTGAAATTTTGGGCTTGGACAGCCTAGTACAGTGGTGGGTTGCAGGTGGAACGCCCTGGGTACAGGCATACCGGTGCCTGCTGGGAGCACCAGGTACCATTCCGGTACGGTGCTCTGGAGGGCCCACCCACCCACCACCATTCCTTACCTGTATTTGAAGGAAATGGGCCATGTGTGCATGCGCACGGTGTATGGCACCTGCAGGATGCTCTGCCAAGCAGCTGGAGCGTCATGGAGGTGTCGCGTGCATGGAGGTGACTGCGTGCATTCATGTGGTGGCTACCGGGCCCCGTTGCACTGTACCGGTTGCACTGGGATCCGGAACCCACCACTGGCTTAGAACTACCCCTACGATCTGAGTCTGACCTAAGTGTAGTACACAAAATTATCTGCTACAGTGACTTCTTCAGCTTCAACTGTAATAATACATGAGCACACAATATATACCAACTCAAGGTAAACCACTCCAAACTCTCGATTGCGGAAAATACGACTTCAGCAACCGAGTGGAATGCTCTACCCCCAAAACTTTCTCCTTAAACTGTGGACCTCACCCCATTGCTAAGAGGTCTGTAAGGGGCGTGCATAAGTGCATCAATGTGGTATTTGGTATTTTGGTATTTATTCGATTTGTAAGCCGCCCTATTCCCCGAAGGGACTCAGGGCGGCTGAACAAA